GAAGCAGACTGCCACATCTTTCTCCTGTGGAGCCGCTGGTGGGTTCCAACCACTGGCCTTTCAGTCATCAGCTGAGTGCTTTAACCACTGCACCACCAGGGTTCCATATGTATATACAGTATATGTATGTATGTATATCTACACCACTCCCCCCCAAGTCCTCATTTATCAAGGCAGACTTTCTAAGCTAGTAGTAATTTGAAAATTCTTTGAGGGAGATCCTTTTATTTTATCTTAGCTAAAACATAAAGGTAGAAAATACCAAGTCAAGAATGTAGGAAAAGAGAATACTTTTGGTCACAGCTGGTAGTGTAATACCAAACTTTTATTACTTAAAAAAAAAATTTTATATATATATATATGTTTCTTTTAGCCCTATTGAACTAAAGTGTGATATAATTAAAGAACGATAGAATTTTTACAATTATACTCAAATTAATATTACGTTTAAAAGTTCGATAGCTTATTCTAGTCCTTTAAAAGATGCCTAACTTTTCTTGCTTTTCCCCTTTCCTGATATGTTTCTAGCTTAAGAAGCTCTTACTGGCACCAGCCAATACTCAGCTAAGTTATAATGAATGCAGTGGTCTCAGTACCCAGAACCATGCAAACCATAATCACAGGATCAGAACAAACCCTGCAGTTGTTAAGGTACAAACTTTTTGATACACGAGGGAGGTAACAAAGGGTTTTTGCTTGAAGCTGTAAAGCGAACGCTGCATCTATATGTATTAATTCAGCTGGGATGCTGCAGCTGCTTCAGGATGCGGAAACAGATTATGAACCGGATTTCAAAGAGCAGTGCTTGGGCTATTTAAAGTAGGAAGTATTCGTTTGTGCTTTGTTTCTTGAATGATTGGAATAGAAGCCCCACCGTCTGTTACTCCTTGCCCACTGTATTAGTACATGCAGCCGTGTGGGCTACAATAATATCTACCAATCAGCTGGTGTTATCTATGAGTGACTTTAAGATACAAGATTGCTATTTTACCAGCTGTCTAACCTGAGAAAGATTGCTCTGGAATCACCGCAAAAGATCTATCTCTGCCATTAATTGGATGGAGTGCTGGCAATGACATAATTCGGTTAGCAGGCTGTATTAAACAATGTTTGTCTTGCCGTTCACTGTGAGTGAAAACAGAGCGTTAAGGGGTACTTAAGAGAGTTGTGAATACTGGGCTCCAGCAATAAGCGGTAAATTAAGGTTTAAACCAGCTTTTTCTTTTTTTTTTTTATTCACAGTAAAGGTGCTGTAGGGTCTCGTTAGTTACATGTTGCTGAGTAGGAACATTGAAATGTAGGAGAAATGAAATAAAAAGCTGCATAAATGTCATTTAGGAATTTTAAATGTAATTTTCTTTCCTTGTTCTGCAAACAATTATTCACAGCTCATAGATCTAGTACACTTAGACTGAACACTTCATTGAAAATCTCATCTCTTCAGAAAGCCTATATCCATTCTGATAAGGTTCAGTTCACTAATTTTAGCTTTCTTTATGCCTTGTTTTTAAGACCGAGAATTCATGGAGCAATAAAGCAAAGAGCATTTGTCAACAACAAAAGCCACAAAGACGTCCCTGCTCGGAGCTTCTCAAGTATCTGACCACAAACGATGACCCACCTCATACCAAACCCACAGAGAACAGGAACAGCCACAGAGAAAAATGCACGTCCAAAAAGAAGCCCCCCGCACAGTCGCAGGCGCAACATTTACAAGGTAGGCTGGGGACCAAAACGCACTGTGAGTGAGGGTGCCCAAGGCAAGGAAAGCCAGCACAGAGGCCAAGAATGCGGAAACTTCAGGCTTCCATTTTCATGGGTGTCTCTTGGAGAAAAGAGAATTCAGCACTTTATTACAGAGGTGAAAAAGAAAAGAAAAATCCTTCCCTGGCCACAGGTGAACATATCCTATTCAGCCGATATGCAGTCTAATTCACAGTCTCCAAAAGGCGCTTGAAATGTTAGCTGCAGATGGGAACCAAGGGGAGTTGGGGGAGGAGCGGCAACATCAGATGAAGTTTATATGAATCTCTGAATTGCTGAGATAATTGAAGTCCTAGGCAAGCTGGGCAAACCAATTCATTACAGAGCTTTTATTTTCTTCCCCTCCAGTAATGGAAAAAATGAGGTATTGTTGATTTGCTATATATAACTTAAGAACTAGTAAATAGCATTTATGCAGCCCCTCCTGATTCTGAAGTGCAGTCTTCCCTTTTTAGACCCCATGCTTCGCTCACAGAGTTTATTTTGTAAATAAGGCTTTGGAAATTTCTAGGAAAAAAAAAATTTTTTTTTTTTTTTTGCTTTCTATTTAAAAAATATTTTCTAGATTAAATTAAACATCTGGGTTTATTTTCATTATCTTCCTTCTTTGCTAGAAGGCTGAAGCTTCTGAGGCCAACTGGGGTGATTTTGGGAAAACCTCTGTTGGCAAAGTGATAATTTTCTTTCTTTTTGGCTCTTCCCCATCAATACGCTCTAGTCTTATAAGCCCAAAGAGAGTTTGTTGAGAGTTGCTCTTGCTTTCAAATATGCCAGCTTCCATGTTAACCCTACTTCTAACTTATTCTAAAATAGCAGTTATCAACATCCACCTCTTTTTTCCTTTTGTTCCCCCAACTTCCCCTTCCACCTGCAGAATCACAAGCACTGATTCCATTCTGAGCCATGATTGCTTCACACGGTCTGCTGCTGTTGCTGGTGTTTTTCATTAGTATTTCCCAACGTTTCGAGTTTGTCTTCCTCATCCCTACCTCACCACAAGCCCTGGATATTCAGGAACCTTCTTCTAGTATTTTAAAAAAGCTCCTGATTAGGTTTTCCCTGGTAGATATCTCAATTCACTGCCCATCCTTTCTGCTAGTAAAGGGAAATATATGTAGTGAAATGGACCAACTTCTCTTCTACCCAGTTTGGCCCTCAGCCTACCCACTGTAATAATTTTTCTACGAGCAAAACCAGCCATGCTGTGGAACTCCTCTCCTGACAGCGTTGAAGGCCTCAGGTGAAGGAAAGACAGCTAGGCTTGCTCTATCCAGTGAACTCAAGAATTCACTAGGCTGTGCTCTGCCCCGTCCCCATCATGTGTTCATTTTTTGCCCTGAATTTAAAGTCCCCAGCCTGATGCGGTCAGTGAACCCAGCACAGTAGCACAGGCTTTAAATCTTTTTGTTGTTGTTGTTGGTCCATTTGGGTTTGGGGAGTCCCTGGGTGGTGCAAACAGTTCATGTGCTCGGCTGCTAACCCAAAGGTTGGAGGTTCAAGTCCACCCAGCGGCACCTTGGAAGAAAGGCCTGGCAACCTACTTCCGAAAAAATCAGCCATTGAAAACCCTGTGGAGCACAGATCTACTCTGATACACATGCGGTTGTTATGACCTGTAATCAACTCGACAGCAACTGGTTACTGGTTTGTCTTTTGAGGTTTTTATTGTTTAAATTCATTCACCAGTCAATATTACTATAACGTCTATAAACTATGGCAATGAGGAATTAAATAGGCATATTGAGGAAAAAATTTTCTCATGCAATCTTCTTTGCATGAGACCAGTTATATGTGTATTTCTTAAAGTATATGTCTGTGGCATGGCACAAAAGACTTACCCCAGGACAAAATCTGTTGAAAAAAAAAAAGTCCTGTAGCTATTAAAAGCCTAAAAGAAATAAAACACAACTGCCTACTTAATAACCAAAAGGAAATACTCAGCTTCAGAGATTATTTCAATTATTATTTTAAATTAAAAAGTAGAAAATATTTCAGCAGTTATAGACAATACCTAAGAGGGTCTATTGAGGTTATCTTTTTTAATGTGTCATACCTCTTTTCTCTCTGAACTTCATATGTGGTCTCTGTAACATTATGGGGTCAAGCTCTTTTCAGTTCCTGTGGATAATTGTCCGGCCTTTGGCCTGTGTTGGTGCCCCATTTATTCATCCATTCACTAATGCATTCAATCATCAAAAACACCATGATCTGCATGAAAGACATGCATTCCTGCCCTCAAGGAGTTTACAGTCTCTGGTCTACCAGTCATTGGCCCACTGTTTGGATCAAGCTCTCAGTAAACCAAATCAGTACTGCTCTAGGGGCAGCTTTTGTGGACCTGGACTTATTTAGGGATTAGGTTCTCTATGTGATTTGGGGACTGTATCCTTCCCATGGCTCTCATTTTATGTTTGTGTTTGGTCTCATTAAGTATGGTTGCTGCCTATTCCTCTCCTTCTATTGCCTGCAATCTTACCTGCACCTAACTATCAGAATTTTGGGTGTCTTCCTTGAGCATTCAGACAGCCTGCCCCTATACCTTGAAAATTAGAATTTTGTTGGCTCATTTTCAATATATAGTCATTACAAGACATCATACTTAGTTCATATCTGGTTGTATTTTCTACAGAACCTATATGAATTACCATAATTATTAGTTCAGCACCATGAGTTGGAAAAGCTCCTTTCATAAATGTGTTCTTTTTGAAAGGCTCATTATATTAAACATACTAAAAAAATTAATGTCAAATAAGCTCATTTATCTGTATATATGATAAAGCCAATAAATCAGTGCATTTAATTTGTAGAAGACAGTGTGAGCTTCTTATTTCTGGATGCACATTGGGCAGATGATATACCATTCAATTGTTTAAACGCTAAATTTACAAGTTAAATATATATATATACTATTTATCCAAGTAAAGTACCTAATTTCAGGTAATTTGGACATAAATTATAATTTCACATTTCAAAGGTCCTTAATTACTGGGTTTGATTAATTTAATATCTGTTAAATGTAATACATTTTGATAATAGGAGAAAGGAAACATATTCTTGGTCAACTCTGCTAGCAAGTAGTTTATGGCCCTGGAAATATCGTTTAACATCTTTGTGTCTCAGATTCTTCATCTATATGATAAGTAAGTTTATTCCAAAGGATTTCTTGGTTTCAAGCCTATGATATTCATTACATAAACGACTACATCTTGACCATTTGAAAGTAGATATTTTAATATCAAACATTGAGGTGTACTTACATACATATAAATAAATTTTCATAGATAAGCATATATATATGTATATATATATATATATAATACATAGATATATATCCCAAGTACATTTCTCATTATGTTTTCCCTGCCGTCTGTTCAAAATACAAGACTGCCAAGGAGAAGCAACTGAAATTTTGGAGTGAGAAGAAGATTCTTACTCCCCCCTTCATAATTGGGAAATGCCTCCTGTAGGAGGTAAGATTTAGGAAAGCATAAAAGAAAGAAGGCAAGCTCTCTCTGCAAGTCCGTACGTCTCTCCACTGATAAACATAGCATCTTAATTTAGTCGTCCATCAGATTTGGGGATTTGAACCCTTTTAAGCCATCTGAGTTAATGCCCACAACTTGCCATAATCTGTCAATTAATTTTCAGTCAATGGAATAATTGTTGCTTGAGCTTTGCCCTCAAAGAAATAACCTATTCTCAGAGCTAGATATAAAATTATACATTTTAGGAGTAAAATCAACTGAATATTCATAACGTTCTGTTGCTTTGTAGTTACTCTGCTGTTTTCTTGTCTAAACAAACCGTGTACTATATTCCAAATTAAAAGGGAAAACATTATATCTCTCTGATGGTATGATGCAAATTATGTCTCCTTAACAGGGGTGGTACATTTTGAAGAAAATTCTGTTCTAGTATTTGTTTTCAAATGATAGTTGACTGATGCCAGTGTTGTTTGGAATTTGCTTTAACGTAATGGACTGTTGTCTGACTTTGATCCAGTATTTAGGGAGTTCCTTAGTTTAATCTTCCAGTTTTCTGGTCAGGTTTCCAACTTGACTGAAGTAGAAAGAAAATAAATCTAGAGGACACTCAATGTTTCATAATTAGTTTCTTTTTTTTCCCCCACCTTTAGCCAAACCAACAACTTTATCTCTTCCTCTGACCCCCGAGTCACCAAAGTAAGTATTAAGAAATGTAACCATTTTCAGAAAGGGAAGGGGGTTCTAATACATTTGGCTACAGCAACTCCATTTCAGTTTGTTTTTATAAATGTGCCATATCTTCCAGTGACCCCAAGGGTTCCCCATTTGAGAACAAGACTATTGAACGAACCTTAAGTGTGGAACTCTCTGGAACTGCAGGTAAGCCTTCCATTTCACTTGGAACTTATTTGCTTGTTTGTGAAATATGTCTTAGATGATAGTGTTGCCGCATTCTCTATTTAACGGATGATTATTAACAAGGAGTACACACAAAATTGGATAAGAAATTATCTGTAAATATGTTCAGTTTTTTTTTTTCTTTTCTTTTTTTTTAAGCATAGGCATTTATTGTGTGTCAAACTTAGGCCAGACCCTTTGATGTAAATTATTGCTTTGGATCCTCAAGTAACTGTATTTCAGATGAGGACACTGAGCCTTGAGTAAGAGAAGAAATTAACATTTATTGAACTCTCAGTAAGTGTACAGGCATGTAAGTGGTTACCATTGACTTCACAACAGCCTCATGAGGATGGTAATAGTCTTCTCATTTTAAATATGAGGGGATAAGGTTCAGAGATGTTGGGTAACCTGCTCAAGATCACACAGCTAGGAAGCCAAGAGATAAAGTTTGAACCTATGTTTACTAACTGTCAGTGCTTCACTTGGAATATTTCCATACTCTGCTATATGTCTCACCATTTTCATATTTTTCCAGCAAAGCAGAAAAATGAAAAAATGCCCATTCATCAAAACAAAATGTTCTGTTTTTGAACAAGAGCAATTTCCTTCATCATTTTGGACTTCTGAACTCATTTAGCCAGTCTTTACTTCACACACTGAAGAAGAAAGAGCTTTTAAAAACTTGAACTAACCCCTGAGATACTTACTCATCTGAAGAGTTTCTAGGCAGACTTCTGAGTTGGTTGTAAATGGTGGTTTTGTACTAAGAGCTTTGGGTTTGGGTACCTGAACTTTACCACAAAGTGACTCTTAGGATGTTTGAACAAGAAATTCCTTGGCTCTGGCCATTGCTGATAAAGGTAAAGGAACAGTAGGTTAAACAAGACGCTTTCAACCAGAACTATGGTGCCTACACACACTGTGGTCATTGTCACTTAGTTTCACACTTTGAGTTTACTAAATTACCTCCTTATGAAAGGTCTACTGCATGATTGCATGATTTGGTCAAGCAGTAGAGTAGTTAATTTCATGGTGTATATATATGTATATATACACACACACACACACACACACGTATATGTGTGTGTATGCTCACATACATGTACATATATACATGCATATGTATATGTGTACATATTATACACACAAACATATTCACTTATAACCATATATAACATCATTTCTTAAATAAATTATATTTCACATATATGATTATAAGTTACTTTTTTATGTGTATATTCTATGTCTTCTTATCTGACTAATGAGAGTGAATAGTTGGTGAATTTATTTAAAAAGTTGATTAAAGCATGTACACTTTTGTAAAGTTATTTTTGCTTGAAACAGATAAATATGCATTCAAAAATCAAATTTTTGGTAGAAGACAGAGACCTTTACCTCGATATGAGGTGTGCTAACTAGGGATCCATTCATCATGCTTGTGCAAACCACACTAATGATGTATTATAGATAGTATCCACTTTTTGTTTCTTGCTCTTTGAAGGTAAATAATTAAAGACATTTGTGTGGTAGTCTTGAATGTAAAATCCTTATAGATTTGTATGATTTTTCCCAGTGTTTTCTGATAACATTCATCTACATCTAATGTGACAGCATTTGTGGTAGTGACATATTTTTATTAGGTCTCTTTTACAGAAGCAACTCTTTCTATAGTCATATTACATTCATTTATATAATATTTTAATATATTACATAATTTCAATCACCAGTACAATGGACATTAACTGGTTTGTGGAAATATACTACCCCAGCTCTTGGTAAGGACTCAACTGAAAGGAATCTATTAATTAAGACTTACTGTGGTCATTAGTCATTTACTTTGTGAGAGAGATGAGAAAACATCTACAGTATATATCAATACCAAGCTTTTCATTAAAGAAACACCTTTTATTATTCTCTGATAATAAAATGATATAAACTTCTTATGGGAAATGAAAAAAAAATGTAAACTAGTAAAAAAATTATTAATACTCCTATGGTGTAAAGATATTAATAGCATTGTTTTCCATGGATATTTTATACATTCGTGATCATTTTGTGTATGTATAATTTTGCATCCTGATTTTTTATTTAACATTTTAATAAGAAATTTTCATATCATCACAAACCCTTTATTATCAGGGCTTTAGAGTACTGTATAATATTGGTTTGAGTAGGCACAACATTTATTTAATCATACTCCTATTGTTATACGTTTAGGTTGTTTTCAAGTGTTACCATTTTGAAGTAGCACTGCAGAGGGAATCTTAAAAAAATGTTTTAATCTTATTGTCTCAAAATAAATTCTTAGTGGGTAGTCATGGTGAAGAAAAGGATATAAATAGTTTGAAGACTTCTGATATATATTGTCATATTGCTTTCCAAAGGATTATTTCCATTAGCACTGTATGGATATACTTACTTCATCACATCTCTGCTAGCATTGAGTATTTTTGTTTTTAAAGTGTTTTATTAATTTATGGATATGAGTCTATCATTTACATTGCATTTCTTCTATTAGTGAGATTCTGGTATTATATTTAAAAAAAAAAAAGCACTTCTTTTTATTTTCTTCTTGCCAGAAGTTTGAATATTTCTTTTTAAGAGCAGATACTGAGTTTTAAATAATTTAGATATAATTTTGAAAGGTTAATAGCCTACAATCTATTGAAAGACATTTAGAGATTTATAAAAGGTACTTTTTTATTACTTGGAAACCTTAAAATTGTATACAGTAGATTTATTCCTGTCACTGAACCAGCATTCATCTTATTAGTTTAAATCTTTTATTCTTGGTAATACTGAAATCAATGAGGTACTATGGAAATCAGTTTACCAAAATATTTTTTATCCTATCTGTTCTGTGTTGACAATATAGCCTGGTGGGTATACAGCAAATGTAAGAAATAGAAAATCATCTGTAAAAAATTGAACATAGTTCTTGGTTCACAGTAGGTACTAAATAAATGATCCTTGTGTTTAAGATGCAGGCTTGTAATCCCACTGGGAAAATAACACATATTGTATAAATAGCATGAAAAAATATTATTTATAATTTTTTGCCACCTTCTAAGATAGGTGTGCCCTAGGTGTGGTGTTTAGTTTGTTGAGCACCCTGGTAATAAATGTGAAGATGCAAATTGGAGAAGATGAAGTACAGCCAAATTGTACTAAACAACAGAAAGAATTTAGAGAGATAGGAAAGCACGGGGAGGAGGCGGAAATTGGAGGATGCTGAAGGAAACTGGAAGGAGAAATTTGGAACCTGCCAGGCCAGTTATGTAGAGAGGAGATAGAGGAGAAGATTTTGTTGTTGTTGTTGGATAGAGATACTCTGGATTTGAAATGCTATGTAATATGTGGTACCCATGATCTCCATCTTCCCTAAAAATCTTCAATAAAATCCTTGTTTCCCAGTAGTGCTTGGTAGAGGGTCTTTTCTCTTGGAGGATGTGACAAACACTGATCTGTGCCTCAGGAGCATCACAAAGTGAGAACAGAAGTTATCCAAGGGAGTCCTGTAACATGACTTCAAGTTAAATACAATGATTATGCAAAAGATTAAAAATAATTACAAAGACTGTTCAGGACTGAAAGAAACATTAAGGGTGTACCATTGCCAAGTGAGTGATAGAAGTGATCGTAGTAAGGACTTTGGAAAAATTGAACTCTTCTGCAGGCTAAACTAAGGAGCCCTGGTGGCACAGTGGTTAACGTCTCTGCTACTAGCTGAAAGGTTGGTAGTTCAAACCCACCAGCCGCTCCACGGGAGAAAGATGTGGCAATCTGCTTCCGTAAAGATTACAGCCTTGGAAACCCTATGGGGCAGTTCTACTTTGTCTAATAGGGTCGCTATGAGTAGGAATCGACCCGAAGACAACAGGTTTCAGCAGGCTAAATGGCTTTGGGAATCCTTAAGAGGGAAGAATATTTGAGTCAGATTTTGAAGTATGGAGGATGGAAAAGGCAGAAGATATTACTGGAACAGAAGCAAAAAGGCAGGAAATCAGGGAGTTGCTCAGGTGACAATATATTTGGTATGGGCATTGAAATCAGTAAGGAACCACCAGTTGGAACACCATCTTTCCTCCTTAATCTTTGATTTCTAAGACTCTTGTCTCTCTCCTTCATCTTTTTTTTGGGGTGGGGGTCTCATTTCTTCAGTTTTAAAGTCACATTCATAATTCCCAAATGAAATTACTGTCCAACTCAAAGGACTAACGTATAGGTTGAAATGTAATTGCCACTCTTCAATCATTTCTGACATACAAAAATGGCAATTTCATATGGCTCAACCTGTAATAAAACGGTTTCTAAGTAGCACAGCTCCAAATAAAAGTACTCAATTATAATTTTTTTTAAAGTAGACAGCATAGCTTAATTAAGCTGTTCAAAACCTTGACTTTGGTGTTAGTCTGGAGTTCATATTTTGGTTCTTCTCCCGTCTAGTTGTATAATCTTGGTCAAGTTCCTTAATTTTGTAAGGTTCAGGATCCTTATGTTTCAAGTGACAATAATAATAGCACCTGTATCTAACCAGTCACTGTGAATATTAAATGAGATAATGTATGGAAAAAGTATAGCCCAGTGGACTAACATACATACACGTTCCATAAATATTAGCTTTTTAACTACTAGTAGTGGGCTACCTTCATCTACTGAGTTCATTTTGCCTTGCTGCTCATCGTTCCAACTTTTGTCTGTCTTGTTCCCTTTTATTTATCTTGCTGTTACATTTTATCTGTCATTCTTATATATCAAGTCGCTTATTCTGTTTTTTTTTTTTTTTTTTGTGGCAAGATTCTCCTACTTCCTTGCAAAGTTGAACATATACTGCTTTTGTTGAGGATCTGGGATTTACCAAATCAAGGTAGAAAAATCATCTCTTTGATATCCTCTTAACAATAATTACTTCTACTATTACTAAAATTTCTGGCAGTTAGGCACTCTCTAATAGGCACTATATATGTATTATAATTTTG